GAAAGCAAAACGAAATTTTTAAAAAAAAAACCTGTATGTGGGACCAAGGAATAGTTATCAATGTCCAAGGAATCTTTACCAAACTGAGAATGTCAAAGTGAAACTGGGCAGTCATTTGAGAATAAGGATTGAGCTGGGTGGTGGTGGTGCACACCTTTAATCCCAGCACAGCCAAGGCATTACTGTCTTGACACCAACCTCTCCCCTCTCTGCTCTGTCTTGGAACTTGGCTGAACAGCTACATACCTGCTCATCCCATGCCTTTTTCTGTGGTGCACAAGCTGCTCCCATCTGTTGTCTCTTTAGTAGACACCTGCCCTGCTCGCCCAGCTATAGCTCAGTCACCTTAGTCACTGACTGAGTAGAACTGATGCCCTTCTTTCAGAAAGCCTTCCCCTCCTGCTTCCTCACCCCACTGTCCTTTGCCCCCAACACCACATTCAACCTGCCCATGTGTTTCTGATTGTTCTTTCTGGAGCTATATGCTCTGCTTATAGAATCTGAGCCCTCAAGGAGTTCATGTATAAATGCTTACGTACATACATAATACATACATACATACACACACACATACATACACACATACATGAAACCTAGGGCCTTACACATGCTGAACAAGAGTTCTACCATCCATCTTCATCCCATCTTTTACTATGCATAGACCTGTCCCAAACTGGGTAGGATGGTACATGCCTATAATCTCAGTATTTAGGTCATGGGCACAGGAGAATCAGTTCAGGGTTAATCTCAGCTACAGAGAATTTGAGGCCAGTCTAGGCTACCTGATCTCTATCTCTAAAGCAAAGCAAAACAAAAGCTACTGTCTCTTCATAGGTCTTCACCTGAGTGCTCCCAGATCGTACTGAAGGCAAGGGCTGAAGTGACATCACAGCTTGGGGCACACTGGGTATTCAACCCACCAAGACTGCTGAGTTGGACTTTGTCACTGTCTCAAAGTATTATGTGGGGGGATGGAGAGATGGCTCTGTAGTTAAGAGCACTGACTGTTCTTCCAGAGGACCCGGGTTCAATTCCCAGCACCCACATGGCAGCTCACAACTGTCTGAAGATCCAGTTGCAGGGGATCTGACACCTTCACACCAATGCACATAAAATAAAGTTAAATAAAAATATTTTTTAAAAAGTATGATGTGGGAAACCTAACCTGAAAAACTCTGTGTGTGCGTGTGTGTGTGTATGACTAGAGCCCCCGGAGGCCTGAAAAGAACATCAGAATCCCTGAGACTATCCTTACAGATGGTTGTGAGCCACCACATGGGTGCTAGAAATCCAACCTAGATCTTCTGGAATACCAACTATTTCTCTTAAATTTGAGCCAATTCTCCAAACCGAGGGCAGTTGTTTTTTGTTTGTTTGCTTGTTTTTTAAGACAGGGTCTCTCTATGTAGCCCTGGCTGGTGTGGAACTCACTCTGCACACCAGGTTGGCCTCAAACTCCCAAGTGCTGGGATTAAAATGCTACCATGTCTGGCTAGAACAATGTTTTATAGCCAGAATAATAAAACTAACCTAGTAAATCACGAATATAGCATTTAAGTGAAAAAACTTGGGTTATCTTTCTAGATATATGACTATACCTACGAAATCAACAAAACATGTTTTTCTTCATACCACTTTGTAACCTTTTCTGCCTTCCCCTCTTCCAACACTCAGTCATCTCCCCAGACAACTCACTACTACCCAGACAGCAGTAACAGTGTTTCCTCTTACTATAATCTGTGCATTTTAGAGTTACAAAGTATCATGTAGTCCAGGCTAGCATCAAAGTCCATATATATAAGCCGGGTGGTGGTGGCCGTGCGCACCTTTAATCCCAGCACTCGGGAGGCAGAGGCAGGCAGATCTCTGTAAATTCCAGGCCAGCCTAGTCTACAAGAGCTAGTTCCAGGACAGCTAGGGCTGTTACATGGAGAAACCCTGTCTCAAAAAACAAACACAAAGAAAGTCAACATATATGTGATAATTACCTTGAATTCCTGACCCTCTCCCTCACATCACCAGTGCCTATCTTTTATTTTGATTTATTTATTTTGGAGACAGGGTTTTTCTGTGTAACCCTGGCAGTCTTTGAACTTGCTCTGCTTCCCAAGTGTTGGGATTAGAGGCACATGCCACCATGCCAAGTTTCCTTATTGCCATGTTGCTTGTCATTGTTTAAACATAGCATATTTTGTTCAGTCATCTGCAGACGGGTATTTGGGCTGTCTCGTCTCTAGTCTCGGGCTATTACAGATTACAGATACCTTATATGTGTGTGAACAATTCGTACAAATACTTTTATTTTGCTTGAGTTAGTACCTGCAGATAGAATAGAGAAGAGGTTTTCTTTCCTTTTTTTTTCTTTTGAGCTTTTATGGCGGGGTCTCACTGTGCAGCCCAAGCTAGCTTCAAATTTGTAATCCTCCTGTCTCACTCTCCCCCACCTGAGTGCTGGAATTACAGGCATGTGCCACCGGTGATGCCCAGCCTGCGTGTGTGTGTGTATGCATTTGGGTTAAGAAAATGTCAAGGGGCCAGGCATTGTGGCACACGTCTTCTGTCCCAGCATCCTGGAGGCAGAGGCAGGGGAATCTCTGTCAGTTCTAGGCCAGACTTGTCTATCTAGCAAGTTCCAGCACAGCCATGACTTCACAGTGAGAGTTTGTCTCAACAATAAATAAAAGAAGAAAGGAAGGGAAGAAGAAACATAGGAAGGAAAACTGTTGAGGGGATGGGGGCGCAGCTTCAGTGGAAGGAGCACTTGACCAACATGTAGGACCTAAATTTAATCCCTAGCCTAGACAGGAGCTTACTCTGTAACCTGGCTGGTTAAAGCAATCCTCTTGCCTCAGCCTACAAAGTAATGAAGTCTTGTGACTATTCCACCATGTTTGGCAATAGGCAGAGACTTTGTTTGTTTTTTGTTTTGTGGTTTGTTTTGTTTTTTGAAACAGGGTTTCTCTGTAGCTTTGGAGTCTGTCCTGGAACTAGCTCTTGAAGACCAGGCTAGCCTCAAATTCGCAGAGATCCGCCTGCCTTTGCTCCCGAGTGCTGGGATTAAAGGTGTGTGGTACCACTTCACGGCTCATAGACAGAGATTTAAATTTTTTTTACATTCCTTTATTTTGTGTGTGTGCACATGGACCATGCACACGCAGGGGCTGACAACAATCTTAGAAACTACTGCACTTCCTTCACTGTGTGAATCCTCGGAATCAAATCAGATCCTCGGGCTTGACAGGTCCTTTGCCTAGTGTGCCTTTCTCACCAACCTGTGTTTTGTTTTTTGAGATAGTCTCAAATTGCCAAGACTTCCCTGGAACTTCTAATTTTCCTGACTCCATATTTCCATCTTCTGGGACTATATGTTTGAACCACCACACCTATCTTAAATTTTGTAGTTTTTAAATTAATTTGTTCTTTTACGATACATATTGTGTATCAAATAGAAAAAAAGGTGCTGGGCATGATTTTGTTGCTGTTTTGAGATGGTCTCTTTGCACAACAGCATTGACTGTCCTGGAACTCGCTTTGTAGACCAGGCTGGCCTCGAGCTCACAGAGATTCCCTGCCTCTTCCTCTCAAGTGCTGGGATTAAAAGCGTGTGCCACCACCACCTGGCACTGGATAGGATTAATGGTAAACTATTCCCTGTAGAATAGAAGATCAGAGAAGCTGAAGGTATAACTAGAAACTTCAAAACTGGGATGGGGGATGAAACTCAGTTGGTAGAATGCTTACCTAGATACAAAACGTTAGATCTGATACCCAGCACTATATAAGGTCATGTCCGGTGGGACATCAATTACTTCAGCACCTGAGAGGCCAAGGAAGGAGTTCAAGCTCATTTTTTTAATAAATAGTTTCTTTTTTCTTTTATTATTTATACAGTGTTCTGTTTGCATGCCAGAAGAGGAAACCCGATCGAATTACAGATGGTTGTGAGCCACCATATGGTTGCTGGGAATTTAACTCAGGACCTCTGGAAGAGCCGTCAATGCTTTCAACCTCTGAGTCATCTCTCCAGCCCCCTCAAGCTCATTCTTGATTAATGAGTTGGAAACTATCTGGGGCTACAAGAGACTGTCTCAAAAAATAAAACAGGAGGGGCAGGGAGGGAGAGAAAGAGGGAAGAGGAAGAGGACTGTGAAGGCAGGCAGGAGCGGTGGTACACATCTGCAATACTCAGGAGGTGGAGTCTCACACTTTAATCTCAGCAGCCAGGGGAACCAGCTGCAGATCTCTGGGAGTTCAAGGCCAGCCTGGTCTACAGAGCAAGCTTCGTGGCAGTCAGGACTACATAAAGAAACCCTATCTGAAAAGCAAAATTTTCCTCAGTCACACTAGCCACATTTACGCACTAAGATCTACAGTGTTGTTTTTCTTTCTCCCTGGCCTTTAACTTTTTTTCTGGTTCTTCGAGACTGGGTTTCTCTGTGTGACATTCCTGGTTGTCCTGGAACTCACTTTGTAGACCAGATTGGTCAGGAATGCAGAGATCTGCACGCCTCTGGCCAATTTCTGGAATCAAGGACATGCACCATCACGTTCATCTGACTTTGAGCTGCTTATCCTCCACTCGCCACGTCCTGAGTGTTGGGGTTACAGATGTCTGCCATGGTTCCCAATTTATACGGTGCTGGAGATTGAACCCAGAACCTTTTCAGTGTTAGGAAAGCATTCTAAACACTGAGCTACAGTTGAATCCTGTCGAGGGCCAAAGGAGGTCACATAGAATGTTAGCACCAGACTGTGCCCAGGGAGCTAGAAGCTGGACACTACGGTACTTCAGATACGGCACTTCCAGAACACCAACTTCTGTCCATGCTGGCTGAAGACACCAGAATACACCTCATAAAAACAGCCTAGGTCCCCCAAAGAACAGCAGCTGCACTGCAAACTCCTCCCATTTCTGTCCTGGCTGTCTAGACAGCCTGCTATGTCCTCCACCCCTCAGATGAGTGCAGGCACATCCGTACACCCACAACCCTTCTCCCACCCCCTCAAGATGAGTCACTCATCCGAGCTGGCTCATTCCTGCCTGTGCTTTTGCTTTCTTCGGGGTCACAGGAGCACAAGAGTCCCAAGGACATTCCAGGTGAAGAGTGAGTGGCTCACGCAGTAGCCCCATGCTGGAGAGGGTACCCCTTTCTAGTGCTGCCTGCCTGCTGCTTCTCACAGTTCAAATGGCTCATCACTGTATGTTGAGGCTGTTTCGAACCACTGCCAGTCCCATCCCCCGCCCCCATGCCCAGTACGGCTGGCCTAGGAAGAGATGCTTTCCCAAGGTCTGGGGGTGGACAAACAAGCTATGGACACCCTACCTGTCCTTTTGCCAGAACTGTCAAGTCATCATTTCAGTGAACACTGCCTGGGGCTGACCCCCATCCCATCCCCACCGGGAAAGGTTCAGGGCCAGCCACTGGACTGATGCTCGAGAGGCCCTTCCCTTACCCGCATCACCTTCCCTCCAACATCCCAAATAAACACACAAGACAGTGTTTTTGGTCTGAGAGTGATGGACATTTAGATGTTGGCAACTGACCAGTGCCTCTTGGGGAGCAGGCAGAGCAAAGACAGAGAGGTAGGGTACAGTGCTGCCAGCCAGGGCTCAGGTCATCGTGGTCGCTGGGGTGCGAGTGGAGGGAAAATAGCCAGGGTCAAGTCCAGTGCTCAGAACCTTACCCTTTCCAGTGCCCAGTATCATCAGATGGCTGGGTGACCTCAGCCAGGTGCCTTTGTGTGCCAGGAGGTAGGCACGGCCAACCTCTGCCCATTCAGATGGAGGGGCAACGTCACTGGGGTCAGATCTCAGGCTCTCCACTCTAGTAGAAGAAGGACAGGGCTGGCTCTGTGGCTACTGAGGTCTCAAGTTGGTTGAGGCTTGGGATCCAGACCACAGTTAAGAGTCTGGCTGGACAAGGCTGGCAGCTTTCCTTAAAGCCCTCATGATCCCTTCAGCTGCCCTCCCAAACAGTCCCCTCCCCAACACACAGACACACAGACATACAGACACACACACACACACACACACACACACACACGCCACCGGGAAAGTCCTAATCAAGGCAGTACAAGCGAAAGGAAAAGGGTGAATCCCCAGCCTCCTAAGGTGGAGGGCACTCACCCCTGGATGCAGCAGCTGGACGTTGGGCCCAGTCTGCTGAGCTACATCATGGCTCTTGGCTTCTCGGACACCCATATAGGAAGACAAAACAGGACCTGTGAACCCCTGCCCCAGACTCCTGAAAATCTCGAAGCTGGTGTGTCCTCAGTGGGCCTCTGGCCAGAAGCATGCATAAGCCAGCCAGTCTCAGAGCCACAATTCCCTATGGACAGCTGAGGGATGATGGGTGGCTCCTGCAGTGGGGCAGAGAAACTAAGGCACAAAGCTAACCTAAGCCCACTGGGTAAGGTGGGGTGGGTACAGGATCCAGAGGTCACTCCTCCCCCTCTGCGAAGCACAAAGGGACCAGGCAACGATCACGACCAAGCTCTGACAACCTGGCACGGGAAGAAAGTTCAGGTTGATGATCCTGGGTGCCAGTGAGTGGCTCTTGACAGAGGGGCTGTATATTCTGGCTGGCCCGAAAAGGACTCTAGAGATGGGGAAGATCCCTGGACGCGGCTGACACTCTAGTCTGGGCCCCATGGCCAGTCTGAGGCCTGAGTCTGGAAAGCAGACATCCAGCTGGGGCTGGCAAGGTCGTGGATGATGACAAGGTCCCTGCATGGGCTAGTCTCCATTAGGCCCTCCATGGGCATCGTAAAGAGGGAGAGAGAATGAGAGGGAAGCAGGGAAAGGGCCTAGGGTCTCAGCACATTTAGGCAGGTGGAACCCAGATGGGCGGGTCGCCTTGCGCTTCAGGACTGCCTGCGCAGACTGGGTCGCCGGAAGGTCGGGTGCATGAGGTTCTCGGTGATGTAGGCCACCAGCAAGCAGATGACCACCAGCATGACACAGATGGAGCCGCCCACCGCCGTCATGGCCACCACGATCTCCTGCATAGCTGCCGGTTCGGCGGTGAACTCCACGCACTCGGCGAGCTCTGGCTGGGTGGCGGCAAGCTCGGCGCGCAGCGGCTGCAGGCACAAGCGATAGCGCACGCTGTCGTGCACGTCGGGCAGCAGGTAGTCGCGGCAGGAGGCGCCCAACAGCACGCGATCGCACGGGAAGCGTGTGTAGGTGCCACGCCACGAGCAGTTCAGCGCGAAGACTCGCACGCGGCGCGCCTCGGCCGGAGCCAGTCGCCACTGCAGCAACACGCTGCGGTTGCGCAGGACGTGGGCGCGCAGAGAACCACCCGCCGAGACCAGCGTCACGCAGCCCGGCGCCTGGCAGCGGAAGCCCCGAGCGGGGCTGCGAAAGCATAGGCGCCCACCGCCCGCCTCGGGGCCCTCGGACAGCACCTTGTAGGGGCACCAGGGCGCGTCGGAAGCCGGCTCCCAGCCCGGCGGCGTCGGGACCACAGCGGCGCCGGAGGGCGGCGCGCAGGTGGCCAGCAGCAACAGCAGCGGCGGAGCGCGCATCCTGCGGCTGGGCCGGCGCTGCGGGGCGCGGGCTCGCGAGCGCACGGGGAGCAGCGGAGGGTCACGCGGGCCGCGCCGCCCCAGCCGCTCCCGCGCCCGCCCCGCGCAGGGCCCTCAGCCGCCACGGGCTCCAACCCGCCCCACGCCCACGCCCACGCCCAGTGCGCTCTCGGACCCAGCGGCAGAGGCGGGGCTGCCCCGCGTCCCCGCCCCCTTAACCCTCGCTGGACCGCACCCCACGGCACGAGAGTCCACTTACCGTGGGCAGGGGACAGGCCCTGGCCACAATCAATGAGGACCCCTGAGGGATGGTCCCTCTATCTGATGCTGGCCCCCGCTCTGACCAAGGGACTAGGCTCGAGGACTGAAATGTAACTTCACCCTGAACTCTTGCATCTTTGGAACAGTTGGCATCCTCAAGGCTTTGTCTTGGTGGGAATTAACTGCACACCCGAAGAGAAGCTGCAGGTTGACTCTTCCTTCTCCGTCCCATCGGTTTTCCTTCCCTTCTTTGGCGCGTGAAGAGGGTCAGGACCAAAGAAAACGCCCCTCGCAAAAAAGCCCACCCTGCGTCGTGCGGTGCAGGTCTATAGAATCCAAGCCGCTTAAAAGAGAGCCCACTCGGGCTACCAAATGAGTTCAGGGTCAAGCTGGGTAATTTAGTGAGATCCTCAAAATGAAAACAAGATTAAAAATAAAACAAACACCCTAGAGACCTGTCATCCCAGTTCTTGGGAGGGTGGATCAGAAAGTCAAGGCCATCATCCTTGACTACTTAGCGAACTTGAGACCAGTCTCAAAAAGCGCAAAACAACCAGACAGAAACAACTCATCTTGCACAACGGCTATGCTGCTCCACGGATGAAAGGGAAGAAGGATCACACTCCAGGACCACTGCAGTCTTACCCTGGCACAGGTCACCTGGCTAGGCCTGCCTGCCTAACGACGGGAGAAGCCGGACCCCCCTGGTGCTGAAAGTTCTACTGTTGAGGACTGTGTACTGAACAGGGAGGTGAGGGGGGGTCTCAGCCAACCGTCCTATGGATTCCGACCCCCTCATGACACCTTCGAGGTAACCTTACCTGGGAAAGGAAAAGGAAAATATTCACTGGGTCCTACGTCTTGTGTTATAGATGATCGTACGATCCCACACACCCACAGAGCTCTTTCCTAGACTATGTCTTGGTCTTCCTGAAAAACCTGAGGGGGACCAGTCTCATGGGCAGTAAGGCTCAGGTCAGAATCAGAAGTCTCCCACCCAGCCACAGCGTGCCTCATCACTAACTTGGAGGGACCCATTTGTAGAAAACTTGGATAGGGTCTACTGAGATCTCTGCTCCCATTGGAGGTCAGAGGTTTTGAGAGATATATCCCCCTATCACCCATTTCTACCTTCCTCTTAGGCTGGGCAAACCCCTGACTCTTGCCTCATCCTTGTAAGAGTGCCCAGGAATTTCTCAGCAAAGTAGAAAATAATGATTACCTCAGGGACCTGTATGTCAGGTCTAGAACTACCCAGACCCTTCATCCAGTTGGCATGGAGGTATCAGCTGGAAATCTGGGCACCTAGTGTCCCTCTGCACCTAGGTGCAGGGTATAGAAATGGGCATGGCAACACAATGTGGAATCTTTGGACGGAAGAAAGCTGGATGCTTCCCCTCCTCCCCCATAGGCTCTTAGATCTGAATGCTTGGCCGCTAGGGAGTGGCACTATTAGTAGGGGTGGCCTTGTTGGAGGAAGTGTGTCCCTGGGGGTGGGCTTTGAGGTTTCAAAAGTCCAAACCAGTCCCAGAGTTCTCTCTTTTCCTGCCGCCATGCATCTCACCAAGCTAATTATGGACTCTGTGAGCGAATCCCGATTAAATGCTTTCTTTTGTAAGAGTTGCCGTGGTCGTTGTGTCTCTTCACAGCAATAGAGCACTGACCAAGACGAGCTGTCCACCGTGTTACAGTCAGTTGGCTTGAAAAACACAATACCCAGAGCTCTGGCCTAGATCTGACTTCATTCACACCTCAGGCTTGTCCTAGGGTGAGGACCTTTCCAGTGGGCTAGGGGCTCACCCATACTGACCTTTTCCTGGTCAGGGCATCACTAGCTCTGCTTCCCACTGTGCGAGAGAAGTTGCTCTCCCTCCTGTCAAGGACCAGCCTTGACAAAATCACTTCTTTCCAAGGTTGGGGCATGGGAATTGAAGAAATAGTAAGTAAAGAATATGAAGATGCATAAAAATAAGACAGAAAACATAGAATATTACTGGGAGGGTATTCCAGTGATTACTGAAATCCTGAAATTGACTTATGTTTATTTTTCCACAGCTTTTATACCCAATATAAACGGGGGGGGGGAGAAGGTGACAAAAGGCTTTACTAACATGATAAAATGATAACTCACACAGTCAATCACATTATCACTCTGAGACATGTAGTCACAACATTCTGTAGTCTAGGTAGCAGAGATGCTCCAGATCACAATCCTGAAGGCCGCCCCTCCCCAGGTGACCTCACAGTTACTAAGAAGGAGCAGAAGTATGTTTGCATATCCTGACCATCTGTCAGGATGGCACAGACCCCTCTTAATTTCAAAAGAACCAAGCAGTCACATCCTGAGTTAGGATGTGCAACTATGCCTGTCAATCTCCAAACTCTCTGACTTCAGACAAGGTGGAAAGGGGCCTGCATTTCTTGGCCTCCACACCCTCCTCTGGTAGGGGGCTGGCCACGGGGGATGAGGATTTTGTAATAGTCTGTCTGGATCATTCTATCTTTGGCATCTTTCCAGCTAGGAACAGGGAGAGGACAAAGGAGATTTCTACGCAAGCCATGGCAGGATCAGAGAAAGCTGACAACAGGAGACCCTGCTTCCCACCCAACATTTCTAAGCCAACAGAACAAAGAAAGAACTATGCTGTCCCTAGAGACCACAAGAAACCCACCAGCACCTCCCTCCATGTTGACCCACTCCTGTCTTACAGCACTGAAATGCGATGCTCCCTGGCCCTATGGCAGCACCGTCTTAGGGCTTGGCTCCATTGAAGCGTTACAGCCCCAATCACCCCACTGGCCCCTGTAAGAGTAGTGGGTGCCCTATTAGGACCTATGTTCATGCCCTACACAGGATTTCCTTGTTATGTCTTTGCAGGTCCCTGCTCACGAGACTACCAGTCGGCACAAATACCACTCTGCAAAGAGCACGGTGGGGAGGCGGCCTGGAACAGGTGGCTCCACTTGGGGCTGCAGCCAACTTCCTAGGTAGTGCTGTTGGGAGCTGGAGGTAAAGCAGCCTGCCACAAGCAGGGTGCCCAGAAAGTACATCATGGAGTAGGTAAACAGATGGAGGAGGATTAGCACAAAGTGCACAAGTTAAGGCTGAACCACGTCCTTCAGGATACGGAGGCTGTTGTGGGAAATGGAGCAGGGGCTGACTACCCCTGGGCTATTTCCAGTTTTACTAGCATCGATTCCACTTTCCTCGGGGGACTTTATTTCTCAGGCCAGGAGGAGTTTAGGTGGGACTGACCTTGCTCTGCCCTGGGGTTGGCAGGTAACTTGGGCTGGCCTGCACATTCAGACTTGCTATCAAGCTCGTGAAAAGGAGTTGATTACCCCAATATCAGCTTCTGTGACTCTGAAGTTATCTTAAGGGAATAACTATCCAAAAGGGAAGCCAAACAGAGCAAATCCAAGAAATCCGGCATGTGTGCTTCCTCAAGTGTCTGGATCTCAGATGAAGAGAGCCCATGTGCTGGACTTCACAGTTACGAGAGATAGCAAAGTCTTTTTTTTTTTTTTCCGAGACAGGGTTTCTCCGTAGTTTTTTTTTTAAATATTTATTTATTTATTATGTATACAATATTCTTTCTGCGTGTATGCCTGAAGGCCAGAAGAGGGCACCAGACCTCATTACAGATGATTGTGAGCCACCATGTGGTTGCTGGGAATTGAACTCAGGACCTTTGGAAGAGCAGGCAATGCTCTTAACCGCTGAGCCATCTCTCCAGCCCTCTCCGTAGTTTTTGGTTCCTGTCCTGGAACTAGCTCTTGTAGACCAGGCTGGCCTCAAACTCACAGAGATTCACCTGCCTCTGCCTCCCGAGTGCTGGGATAAAAGGCGTGCGCCACCACCACCCGGCAGCAAAGTCATTTTTTAACAAGCCCTGAAACATGGGATTCTGACTGAGGGTTTCCATGGTGTTTGCAGCAGCAGATCCTACAGAAGAAGTTAGTCCATCCTAGCTCACATTGGGCCTCTAGTTATGAACTGTGGATACTGTAATGATTTGTTCTGTCTCTTTTTAAGAGACAAACCACGCCCACTCCCCTGTCCACTGAGGCAGGCAGATCTTCCTTCCTGCTTGCAGCTGGAGTCTCTTCCTTTTCTGTCTCCCTCTCGAAGAGGCAACTTCTGTCTTTCTCTCTCTCTCCCTTTTCTCTCTCCCTTCTCTCTCTCCCTCTCCTTCTCTCTCTTTCTCTTTTTCTCTCTCTGCCTCTCTGCTCTTCTCACCTTCTCCCTTCCCCCTCCACATAACCCACTAAATAAATATCCAGCCTCACTCTGCACGGCGTGCCTATCCGTCTGTCTCTTGCCCACCACCTGGGACCAGCCACCTTTGGAGACCTGCAGCATGGTCTCATGGCCTGCTGCCCGCTGTAGCTACTCAGGATCCACAGCATTTTTTATTAATCCATTTCAGATACAAATTTAACTTCAGTACTGGATTCTGGGTAAGAGGCAATGGGTGAGGGACAAGGAGAAAATAAAGAAGGACAAGGCCATATCTGTTGGTTGCCATTGGAGCAGAAGAAGCTACTTCATAGTTCCCCAGGTCTCCTATTATCAATGGAGATTTTGGAGGAGAGTATGGCTTGAGAAGGAGGAAGGCATAGTTTTCTTCAAACTGCTTCTTACTATTTGTTGGGTGAAGTATTTTAGGGTTCACAGAGACCTTTTGGGGGACCTTTTCTATCAGACCAATTAGCCTGGAAGGAATCCACAGGTTCCAATCCTCTGTGGAAATAAAAGCAGAACCTCTTTTCCAAAATAACATATCCTTAGATTCAAGTTTTGAAGTCAAGATACCTTTAAAATATGTGTGTTGGGGCCGGGTGGTGGTGGCGCACGCCTTTAATCCCAGCACTCGGGAGGCAGAGGCAGGTGGATCTCTGTGAGTTTGAGGCCAGCCTGGTCTACAGAGCTAGTTCCAAGACAGGCTCCAAAGCCACAGAGAAACCCTGTCTCGAAAAACCAAAAAAAAAAAAAATACCAAAA